TATTCCACTTCTTTGCTCAAAAATCTAAAAGGGTTTTCTACTGCCTGTGGGATTAAAAAAATATCGAATGTCTTCAGCCTTTCAGGCCATTTGTAATTGGATCTCATCTAAGCATGACCCTTCAAATTCCTCATTCTTCCAATCATGAATGCACCATTGATTGCCTCTGCTGACTGTTGTTTCATGGTTCTTCGTTCACGCTTTGCTCATACCCCCATCCAGACTCCTGCTCCTACTGTGTTCCCTCCCTGACCTTGACTCCTGGCCAGCTCTTGCCCTTGCACATGCTTAAGAGACTCTCAAGGTGCCTTTCTAAAATGCAGGGTTCTCGGTTCCATCTCACCCCAAGAGATTCATAGGTTTGGGTTGTGGCCCAGGAAGCTGAGGTTTAGCAAGCTCTCTGGAAAATTCTGAGGCAGGTGCCTACAGGGCACACGGCTGTGAGCAGTCCTATGGGCAGCAAATTTCCTTCTTAGAGTCTTGCTCCACTCCTTTCTTTTGTCTATTTGCATACCCTGATTCACATTTCCTTTATTGCTCATATTTCACTCTTGCCAAAGTTCTCAACTAGGAATTCTCTTGTTTTCTAATCATCTACCTCCATCAGAGATCAGATCCTTTTTCTCTGTTGATTAAAACCTGCCAAGGGCTTCCCATCACCTTAGAACAAAATCAAGGCCCCTTATCCTTGACTCCAGGCCTCTGCCTTTCCCTCTGAAATTCTCTGTCCTGCCCCCTCACTTCCTCTGCTCCAGACACATTGACTCTCTTCCCATTCCTTGAATACATTCAATGTTTGTTTAGCCTTTGCACTAGGTGTTCCCTCTGTTGAAATGCTCTTCCTACAGAGAGAGAGAGAGAGAGAGAGAGAGAGGGGAGGAAGGAAGGATGGGAGGATGGGAGGGAGGAAGGGAGGAAGGAACTACTATAATAGCCTCCAGACTGCGCTTTTCGCTCCTGAAATTAAAAGTTCAGTCCATTCTCCACCCAATTGCCAGACTATTCTTTTTAAAAAGTAAATCAGACCACGTGACTCTCCTGTTTGAACTCTCCAAGGATTCGACTCAGGATAACATCCAGACATCTTCCTGTGACCTGAAGAGCCCCGTGATCCATCCTTACGGAGCCTTCTCACTGGATCTCATGCCACTCTGTTCTGATCACTGCATTCCAGCCACACTTGCCTTTTGTCCATCCTACAGTGTAGGAAATCCATCCCTGCTGTAGGTCTCTATCTTAAAATGTGATTGTTCATTGATGCATCTCCTGTGCTGAGGACAGTGCCTTGGTTAATATTCATAACCATCATTCAAAAATGATCAAGTAGCCAGTGTTAAGGCATTTGACTATAATAATTCTCAATGATAATTTCTCCTCACTGTTTTCTGACTGAATTTTTGGTTTTATTTCTATTATCTTCTACAGTTATTCTTCATTAATTTCAAATGGATTTCTAAGCCATTCTAGGTAAATTCCCTTGGATCCAAATAAAAAGTTAAATGTATCTTGGTTCTGTAGAAACTGCTTCGCCTCGTTACGTTAGTTTTCACCATGGTTTAAGGGATGTCTATGTCAATGTCTTGCCACTATCTTCTATTTTAGGTCCAGTCATGAGCGACTCTGATTTTTATTCTGTGTTTTAGGAAGATACCTGCAGGATTAAGAAAATTTGTATTACTTAATGATTCATCGACTAACCTTCCCTTTTCTGATATGGAACAGAACATAATTGCTGGAAATTCTGGCTCTGATCTGGGATTTTGGCAGTTTCCTGACTAATGAGAGCTAGTGTCTGCCCAAAGAGAAAGAGTCCCCAATTGTCCTTATTGGGGTAAAAATTTCCCACTATTTTCCATCTGGGAAGTGTTATTCTAATCTCCTTTCACTCCAGAAGGTCATGATATAAAGTACCTTTCTGCTTTTAATACTTCAAAACCTTACACCATATCGTTGCTGCTGATTAAATCGTGTGGACTTGCTACCAGTTGGAAAACCAATGTGAGTTATTTGGGATTGTCCTTATTTAAATTGGATAATTGCAGGTTAAGTCACTTGCTTGGAGTCCATTGGAATGTCATGGTCATGAAGTAGGTCAAATTCTGTCTTTTCCTAGAGAGTCTTGCTGTGTGGCACAGGCATGCACTCGGAAACATTTGTAGGTGTTAATAGAGGAAACTAAAGCGATTCAGGGAAGAAACAGAGGAGACCTACAGAGGAGGTCTGGGTCCCAACGATGATGGTTATTCTTAACCCAGGCTCTCTGACTTCTCCGATAGAAGTGTTGGGCTGCAAAAAGGCTGGGTCCGGCTACAGCCTTGGGAGCTCTGTGTGCCTTTGTGTCAGTCCATAATTTTTCTTTGACTTTCGCCTGCATCTGTCTCAGACTCATTTGAAAAAAAAAATAATTAATAAATTTCATGTTCAAATATACTGCCATTCTGGAGTTAAAAGTTTTCCAGGCATATCCTCAAGTATGTGGGTATCACAGATTCTTATCTATATCCTAGGTTAAAATTTGTTTCGTCATTAATATTATTATTTAACTAACAGGAACTGACTTGAAATGACTAGTTCCTTTTATCTAGTACCGTTCAGGAAGAAATTACTAAGCTCTCTTAGAGAGCATGTTATTCCACTAGGCTAATGGAATACAATCATAAGGAATAATAAACATTTTTTATTGGTAGGACCTAAAGTTTGAATGACTAAGATAGTAATGTGAATTCATTAAAATAATGTTAGAGAATCAAACATGTGCTCAGCATATAAGGTCTCTGATGCACTTGAGTTTCCGATGCTATCCCGGAAAACTTTTTATTTGTAAGGTTTTAATTTTTATTTCTGAGGTTGAAAGAATATATATGGAATTTTGTGAAAAATGATTTTCTCCATCTCTTCCTAAAATCTCTAAAGCCTATCCTAAAATGTCTTTGAACTTCTGAGCTTATTTCTTTGTATATGCACTCCTAACTGCAAGATACGTTGTTGTTGTTGTTTTGTGCCAGAAATTTTTGGCCCATTTTAGGTTTACTTTCTGAAGATTAAAGTTGTCAGTATATTGGTGACAAACACAGAAGCAGAGTGCAAGTTTTAGCCTCTCTTACTTTGATATGCCTGTGGTTTTGTCTCTAGGTCAGTGTAAGCTCCTGCCAAACTATACTTATGCTAAGCCTAAAATTAGGAGTGATCAGTCTGAGTTTGCTGTGGGGACACGTTGGCGATATGAATGCCTTCCTGGGTATATCAAAAGGTCATTCTTAATCACCTGTCTAGAGACCTCCCAGTGGTCAGATGATCAGCAAAACTGTAAACGTGAGTATTCCATAAAAGTGGCATCTTTGGGTCTATTAGTGTATCTCTGTGAGCTAACCTGTTATTTTTCACAGTAAATAACCAGCAAATTAGTAAGTCCTCTTAATGAAGAGGATCCTGGGTTCTGCATGTTTTCTGTTAGTGTTGAGATTAAATCATCACAGCAGGCCAACCCTGCTTACCTGTAATCTCCATGAACTTGCTCTATGCTCTCTGTACGGTGTTAGAGTGAGTTGTAAGTTAGGATGCAAGGAATATTAGTTTCACTTCATTCTTACCCCATTTATTCAAGAGATTTTTTAAAAGGTATGAAGCTTTAGGCTAGGTGATAGGGCTGGAGAGAACCAGCCCTATCACTTAGGTCTACTAGTCCTTCCCTGTGAAGAATTCCTTTACTAATTGTAAAGACTGACTTTAAACAAATACTATACTCTGATGTAATTTCACTCATTCATAGAAATAAATTTATATGGGGACATAGAGAAGTAAATAAGAAATGCTGTCTAGATGAATTAGGGAAATTCAGGCATTACAGGTTGAGGAAACAGCATAGGCAAAAGCACCAATATATGAAAGAACATGGTATCTGTGGAAAACAGAACAATTCGGTGTGGTTGCAGTACGAGGTGCGTGGTGAGGAATAGTAGTTGATTAAATGGATCGGAGCTTAACTGTGACAGTCCATGATTTTTTTTCCCGATCAACAATGGTAAGTCATTGTAAGATTTTAAATGTAGGTGGTGGCATGATGGCATTTGTGCCTCGGAAAGATGACGTGTGCAGTGGTAGATGTGCATAGAAGATGGAGACCAAGGGACACCAGAGTTAGAAAGGGAAATTTTGTTAATGATCCAGTGAGAGATTCCAGCAGCGATGACATAGTTGGTTTGGAGAGTTTTGGAATTCAGTCACTAAAATTTGGTGACCAAATGAATGAAGGGCAGGTGATAAAGAATAAGTTACAGAAAGGAAATGGTGACGGTATGTGTGCTTTTTTTAAGCCACAAGGCTTGGTAAATGATGCCATCACCTGACAGAATATAAAAAGGGGAAAGAGAGATTATAATTATGGTTGACCACAAATTATGTTTGCATGCACACTCAAAATATAGACTATGTGCTTTAAACAAATACTGTTCTGGAGTTGACTATTCCCTTGGGAGATAGAAATTTTGTAAATGTCAAAAATGTCTTGGAATAAACATAAATATGCTAGTCAGCAAGTCCAGTCAGGTTGGGATTTAATATAAAACACAAAAGGTCCCTCAAATTCCATTCCCAAATCCTGTCGTTTTGTTTTCCCCTGTAGGTAAATCATGTGGGAGTCCTGGAGAACTCCTCTATGGCTCTGTCCACGCACCCATGGGTATCGTGTTTGAGTCAACAATTACATTTTCTTGTAATGAAGGGTGAGTTGGCAGGAGATATCTCCAGGGCACAGGGGTTTTACAGCAGCCTTCCAAGAGAGGTCTGAGTAATTGCCACCTACTCTTCAAAATAGATAAGCAAAAAAAAGAATCACCTACCTGAACTGCTCTGTAGACTACCTTTCAGGATTATCCACTGGAAGGGATCCCTAGAAAACAAAAAGGCTCTTGGGCTACTCCCCTGTCTTCCCTCTTCCAATTTTAAATCTCTACCTTTAAACTTCTATTTGGCTTAAGATTCTTTAGCCTTTGGTATGAGTTCTTATTCTATTACTGCTATTTGTCATACATGGTTTTCCATATTTTTGCCATTCATTCAGTGGACAAAGAACTAAGCTTTCCTAAAACGTACGTGTAGCTGGGAGATGATCACTCATCTCTTTGTCTTTAGATATCGACTCATTGGTGAATCATCTTCTACATGTGTTATCGCACACAGCAATGTTTTAAACTGGAATAGGGCAATGCCTGTTTGTGAATGTGAGTAAAATGATCCCTGAATTGCATCCTATGTAATTCTGCTGATATCCTTCTAGAGGGAAATTAGGCATCTGCATATCAAAATGAGTACCCAGGAAAGATATAGTTGGTTTGGGAAGTTCTGGGCACAGAGGTGTGGTTTGTTTACATTCTTCTACTCCCTCCTATTCCTACCACACTTTCCCTTGATGATAAGTTATAGTGAGTAAGGGTTTAAATCTAAAATATGCTATGAGATTACAGACTGCCAAGTTTATACCATGCACAATGTAGGTCATCCCAGGTGCCTCCTACAACAGTTTATCTGTATTCTGGGGATGGGCTCTACTGACCAGATCATAGGTTTGTGTGTGTGTGTGTGTGTGTGTGTGTGTGTGTGTGTGTGTGTGTTTTGTGTGTGTTTTTTGTGTGTGTGGGTTTTTTTGAGGTTTCATCAGGGAAGATCATGCATCTTCCTACCCTGCTCCTCCTATTTATAACTATCTTTGAGATAAGGAAACACAATTTCAATAAAATGGGTTAATGGTAGGTTGAATTAGAGTTCATTTTGCAAGACTGAAGACAAAATTCCTAGAAGATATAACATTAAAATGTTTTCTTTCTTTTCCCACCAAACCCCAAAAAGCTATTCCTTGTAAGTCACCCCCAGCCATCTCCAATGGGGAATTTGGTGGCAGCAGTACAGATAACTTTTACTATGGAATGGTGGTGACCTATTGGTGCCATGTTGGACCGAATGGGAAAAAGCTCTTTGACCTCGTGGGTGAGAAGTCGATATCTTGCACCAGCAAAGACAATCAAGTTGGCACCTGGAGCGGCCCGCCGCCTCAGTGTATTAAGTTAGTCAAATGCCCGTTTCCAGAAGTTGAAAATGGAATTATGGAATCTGGATTTAGTCGTTCATTTTCCTTAAATGATTCCGTGATGTTTAAGTGTAAGCCTGGTTTTACCATGAAAGGCAGCAACAAGGCACGGTGCCAACCAAACAATAAATGGGATCCTCCTCTGCCACGTTGCTTCAAGGGTGAGTTGGGCTGAAACTTCGGCCATCTATAAGTGAAATGAGACCTTTGATTGAATAGATAGCATGGTGCCTCTGAGAAGAGGAGGAGAAAGATAGTAGAGGTGGTTGGGTATCCTTGTTAAAGAATTTGCAAGTAACATCTTCATGTTGAAGAGGTAGGAAATTTACCATATTTTGGAACAGTGCAGGGGAGTTTAGATGCTTAAAGGGGAAAAAAAGGAGATAGAGCAGAGCCAAGGATCAGAGATTTTTCTAAAACATATTATTACATTTTATTTAAATTGGGATAAATAAATTCTCAATCTTATTGGCCATGAGGTTGGGGGAAGTTTGCTAATGTCAGTATTTGATTCAAAAGACTGTAGACTTTATACATGCTCATGTTGACTAACGTAGCCTGTATGCAATGAGGTTAAAATTAAGATTGAGTCTCTTCCCTCATTCTTCCTTTCTCCCCTACTCTTTCTGAGAAATGTCTAACTTACAAAAAAGGGCAACATTTGGAGCCCCTCCTACGGGACTCAGAACCTTCATCATTTTGGTTTGGGGAGCAGGAAAATTGAGGCCGGTTTTGGTAGTGATTATGTATTACCAACGTTTGAACCCCTTGACTACAATATTAGTGAGAGGATAACCAGGTCATTTTAGTTAAATGAAGTGGAAAATGCTGAGTGGATATAATGTTTCCTGGTACCGATCCAAAGAGACAAAGCAGGTGGTGGTACAGTTCATCACATCTAAAAACAGTAATGATGTCAGCCCCCTCCACCTCACCAAAGGCGTCTCTGCTTTACACTGAGGAGAGGTGACAGGGCCATCTTCATCCTATCCCCTACCAACCCCAAGCTGGCTTAGGTTGTAGAGAAGAAAGTTCTTATTTCAGAAATAAAAAGCCTCTCGTCCTGCTCTCTTCTCAGGGTGTCTACCACCTCCACCCATCCACCATGGTACTTATGACAAAATGGATAAGGAATTCTTTGAAATTGAACAGAAAGTGTCCTATAGCTGTGAGCCTGGCTACACTCTCATTGGCACTAACCCTATACGGTGTACATCCGTGGGAACCTGGAGCCATACAGCCCCCAATTGTGAAGGTGCTTAAAGCTCTATTCCATCTTAAGGGAACTCAACTGTTAACTGACTCTTAGTGTGCTAGCCTTGTGTCTTTTTTTTTCCCCTAGTGAAATCATGTGATGCCATCCCAAACCAACTTCTCAATGGCCGGGTGGTGGCGCCTCCTAATCTCCAGCTTGGGGCAGAGGTTTCTTTTGTTTGTGATGAGGGGTGAGTGTGAGGTGACAGGGCCTGAACTGAGACCATGACTCAGCTAAGCACTGCAAAATGTAATTTGTAAAGACAGTTACAGTCCCCCCCCCCCCATCTTAGCCTCTCTCCCTTTTATGACTAAGAATTCTCATTCTCTTATTAACCAAACCCTACTGGTTTTCTTCAAGTGTACGTATCACGCATGGCCAGCCCAAACTGGGAATTACCCACTTATCAATTGAAAAAGCAAAGTTTGGGGTCACAATTTAAGGCCCCTCTTTTGGAGATGAATAGATAATACGGGTTTAGTAAGAGGGGCTCTTTGGGCGAACTTAGGGAACAAGATCTTTGATGTCTTCTTTACTTTGAACATGAGGTTGTTTTCATTCTACATGGTCAAGAGAATCTTGCCATTTGGCTACCAAAGAGAAAAGGGAGAATTTTTTCTTTTTTAAATATGTGATGGTTAGGATATTTTTCTCTGTGTTTTCACCTGGTCTGAAGTCTTCACCTGGTCTGATGTTGGACCTTTTCCTTAATGCTGGACTTTTTCCCTTAACCCTTAAATGCTGAAAAAAATAGAGCTAATTTATACCACTTACTTGATAGAAGTGATTAAGTCCATGCAACTGAGAACTGGTTTGTTCTGATGATGATGTGCTGCCCCTTATTGTTTAAGGTACCGTTTAAATGGCAAATCTTCTAGTCAGTGTGTCTCTGAAGGAATGACAGTACTCTGGAATAATAAGTTTCCTGTCTGTGAACGTGAGTAGAAGCGAAAATAAGTACGAATCTTGCCTCTTGAATTTTGGTGTGTTCTCGTGCATTTATCACTTATCACATCTTATCCATATGTATACTTTGAACATGTACATGCCACTCTTCGGGATGTTCTACCATGCAGACCCAAACTGAATTTATTCAGTTGACTTCATATTGAGTCTTCTATTTATATTAAGGGAAAGGCTCTGATCCCACTGGACCCGAGCAGCACTGCTGTGCTGAAATGGTGTGGTGTGTGTGTTCTTATCCCAGTACCTCTACTGATGAGCAGCTCTTGGGGCTAAATGGAAATCAACCAGTTGTTCTGGAGGTTGGTGCTTCTCCCTTTGTTCTGAGACTCACTCAGGAAAGGTGTGCATATACCAACACAGCTATAAATCATTAACAATATGACAAGCATCTTAAGGATATGAGATCATTCTTCCAAACTCTCAATCACTTCCTGTGGCTTTTTCAAAGGGATTCAGCATCAAAGGGTGAGAAATGACTGCAGTGAGGCTGCAGTCCCTTTCGTAGAGGGGAAGAATGTGCATTCACCACTTGCAACCCCCATTGTGTATTTGAAATAGGCATCCGACAATTTGTATGTTTCAGATATTGTTCTTGTTCCTTTCAGGTACTTGCATCTCTCTGGGTTCTCATTTCAACCTTATGAAGTAGCTTAATTTATAAAATAGACTGGGAAACTGAGGCTTAGAGAGGGTAAGACTTGCCTACGGTCACTCAGCTATTCAATGACAGTGGGAACCTGAGACCAGGTCTGAGTCCATATTTCATTAAGTCCATGGTACCTACCCACATGTGATTAGCATGTTATTAACATATTATTTTCACAGCTGTTTGCCTTTAGTTTTATTAAAATTGATGAGACTCAGAATTATTTAACAAATTCTCTTTCATTGTCATTGTTTGGTCAAGATGGTACTTTTAAGTCCTGTATTGATTTGTTTGCTGAGCAGCAAAAGAAAGGTAAGAATTTAGGAGCTTGGGGATAAGTAGGGACTCTGAGTTCCTAAGAAATAAATTATACAGATTTCTAAGTCTGTTTCTGATAAGGTGACATAAACTATATTTGGAGCTTTAATCTACATCTGAATCTTTTTCTTGTCATAATCAATATCACCACATATTTCCTTTTCTGTTTTTCAGGGATTTTTTGTGACCCTCCTCCTCCTATCCGAAATGGTCGGAATAGTTACACTTCTGGCTCCATACCTCTTAACACTTTGGTGAGGTACAGTTGTTCCTCTAGCTTCCGCATTATTGGAGAAAAGAATCTTTTCTGTATAAGTAAAGACCAAGTGAAAGGAATCTGGGATAAACCTGCTCCTACATGTGAATACTTCAACAGAAAATCTATTTGCTCTGAGCCCGTAGTGGCAGGGGGACACAAAGATAAAAGATCTAGACCACCATACATACATGGTGATTCTGTGACCTTTACCTGTGATGCCAACTTCACCATGAAAGGAAACAAGACCGTTTGGTGCCAAGCCAATAAAAGGTGGGGGCCGACACCACTACCAACCTGTGAGAGTGGTGAGTAAGAGAGAAACTCAACCTGAATCGGGAGGGTGTATCCTTGCATTACTCTGCAGATAACGTTTTGTATCATTGTGAATAAAGAACAGTGTCAAAGTGTAAAGGGTAGGGGTGAAGAGGGAAGCAAGGCAAAGGGTGAAAATTATTGTTCCCTGTTTTATTTTTATTTTTTGTCACCAAGGGCATGGATGTTCATTTAACAAACATCAATAGAACAGAAAATTTTAAAGTATAATGAGAAAAAGTAATTGAACACACCTAATAATTGAACTGAATGAGCCTCACAAGATGAGACTTTGATGGTGCTGTGTGAATTGTGTGGTTTTAAACAAGTTATATGAGTTAATGTTAAAATAAGGAGAAATATACCCAATGTTTTAGAACCCACCTGTAAATAGATGTTAATATAGTCTGGCAGAAATGATGCCTGTTCTATGAGACCTCTATAAACACTTTCTGAAGTGATGCACTACTTTGCCAAGTCATCTCCTCAGACATAACATTTCAAATCAAATGACTTTGAAAGTAAGGATTACTATAAGTCCTTCATTTTTTTGAATATATTTTTTATTGATTTTTTACAGAGAGGAAGGGAGAGGGATAGTGAGTTAGAAACATCAATGAGAGAGAAACATTGATCAGCTGCCTCCTGCACATCCCCCGCTGGGGATGTGCCTGCAACCAAGGTACATGCCCTTGACTGGAATTGAACCCGGGACCCTTCAGTCCGCAGGCCAATGCTCTATCCACTGAGCCAAACCAGCCAGGGCGTTCATTTATTTTTTTACTGAGGTTTATGTTGTTGCAGAAATCTAAATCTGAATTTTAATCGTACAATTAGAGGGACTGTCATATTTGACAAACTATTATAATAAAAGTAGGTATTTCTTTTCTTAGTGAAGAACAATATCAATTGATTCTAAATCAATCAAGCTGAAAAGCTATTACAAAAATATGATTCTATGTATTTGTAGATATATATAAACTTGGGGGTAAGGAAGGTTTGAAGATAGCCACAATATGAGTGACTATAGAAAATAAGCCATTATAAAGATTTAGGTTGACCTATATGTATTGACATGAGAAGATAACATAAGCAGATTATTAAGCAAAGAAAGAAAGACACAGAATAAGATGTGAGTACGCATATACTCATCCAATATGTATGTATAAATGTAACACATATGGGATCCTATAAAACTATATTACTAATATCTAGCGGGATGACTCCTTAATAATATGTGACCTTTGGACCAGAGAATAGGCTTAAGGATAGGATGAGAGTATTTGTAAAAATGGACTATTTTTTTTGGTAAATGAAAAATTTCACAAAATCATAAAGAGTAACTACAAACAGAAAATAATGAACTATATGGTGTATAAAGTGAATATTACATCACACTTGTTTTAAAGAATGAGTTGAAAATTTATGATGACTGGTTACCACAGATAATGTGCCATTTAGTTGGATGAATGTACTATGTCAAAGTCTAGACTGTGAAGGATGTATCATCTGATGGCCTTTTGTTCTAATGTGTGTGTGTAAAGATTTCCCCCTGGAGTGTCCACCACTTTCCAGGATCCCCAATGGACATCACACAGCAGAGAACGTCAGCCTCTTTGTCCCTGGACTGTCTGTGACTTACAGCTGTGAGCCTGGCTACTTGCTTGTTGGAGCAAAGACAATTCATTGTTTGTCTT